ACCATGCTCTGAAAACTGAAGGAGGAAACTACTTCTGGAGGAAGCTGCTGGCACCCCAGCTGACTTTCTGTGTCTTGGAAATGAGTCTTTATACAAAAATAGTGCGATCAAGTAGTAGTAGTAGTCTCCTTAGCTGTAAGCTGTTCAATGGTTTCTGTCTCTGCTCTTTTCAGAGGTTGTCATACCTGGTGTCTCTTGTTTTCTCAGGAGGATAAAGCAATGCCTTCTCCTAGTGTTAGCAGTCTAGGAGTTTCTTCTCTCCCTTGCAAGTTGCTCAGACACATTTAGTGCTCAGCTCCCCATGCTCAAACTGCTCTTACTCACCTCTGAAGACCTCTGAGCAGTATTGCCAGAGCTGCTGTCTCATAAGGAAAGGGATGGACTGCAGTACCTGGCTGGTATGCACAGCAGCATCCTGCATAACATGGGGAGGAGGGAAGGCAGTCTGGAGACTCATCCCTGCAAAATAGTTACGTGGATCCTGTTAGACCATGAGGCATGTGGGCTGATCATCCTGTGCTCTGGGGAATCTGTGGCTTCCAGCTTGTCTCCTGCCCCAGCAGGATCTGCCTCTGCCTCACCAGCACAAAGTCCAAGCCCTTGGCTGAAAAACCACCTTCATCAGCAATTTTGCCTAGGTGCCAGGCTGTGGACTAGCAGGGCTCGGGAGCAGAACTGCTTCCTTTTGTTGACTTGGATCCCAGGGAAAGGAGGGATGTGTGCTGTTTTAGGGCTGGAGCACATGCAGAGCCCTGAAGGACTCCAAATTCCTGCTGGGAATTGCAAGCATTGGCTGTCCTTCCAGAAGCTGTCACAGCTGTAGTGTCCATGCTGCACCTGAGTGGTGTGCCAGGAGCAGGCACTGCAGCTTTCTTGCTAGAGGAGCAGATATTTCTTCTGCATGATCCCTTGTCCTGGCCCAGCCCTGCAGATTTTTTTCAGCCTCTCATCTGTGTTCTCTAAAAATCCATTATAAGCTGCAGTGGCTATAGGGAACAGCAGGGAGCTGATTTTGCTGGTGTAGGATTTGATTTCCCCAGGTAAGGCAGTAAATATGTCTCTGGCCGTGCACAACAATCCCTCACTGGGGAGCACGTGTGGCTGCAGAGCTGCTGCTGCCTGCTTATTGTGCAGTGGCTGTTGTGCTTCCAGATACGAGGTCTTTGCTCAACTGGTTGCCCTTTCTTGCCCTGATGCCTGCAGAGAGGGCTGCTTACTGTAGCAGCTGTGGTCTGAAAGGAAAAGACAAGTGTTCTCACAGTCCTACCAGTTATGGTGTTCACCAGGAGTTTCAGACAGTGTTATAAAACAGAGAACTCTTTGGCCTTAGGAGGACTTTGGCAGCAGTACCATTAAGACCCCAGTGCTCCTGTTGAAGTCATACTGCTGGGATGAGAATGAGTGGAAAGAAGGCAGAAGGCTGTAGATGGTGTTTGGGATCAAAATTTTCAATTCCCGGCAGTGTTAGCATCTGCTCTCTGACCTCAGGCAAACCACTGCTTCCTTCACTGGCCTCTGTCCCCTTGCCAGTCTTGCACAGCTCACAAACTGGCTGCCCCTGTGGCTATTCTAGGCATTCCGTAGCACAAGGGAGCCTGGTTTGGGTTTTCAAGCAGTGCTAATGCAACTGAATGTTTTTACTGCAACCAAATAAGTGCAAAGTGAGTTTTGTGAAACAGAACAATCTCTTGCTAATACTTACATCAAAAAGCTGAAGCCTGCAGGCTCTGCATGTCCTGTGGACTGGTGAGGGAGGATGGTTTGCTTTGTTCTAGGGTTCCCTTGGATGCTCAGTTAGTTTTCAGCAGAGCCACTAATTACACTCGGTCCTCCTGCACTGCCCAGCTCAGCAAGAAGCCACTGTGCTGCCACCTCCACGGGACTGGGGTGCCCCCAGCCTGGCATCCAGGGCAGTGTGTTGGTGCCTGCAAGACACATGGCAGGGTTGCTAGATCACCCCTCATTCTCATTCAGTATCTTTGCTACCCTGCCCACCTGTGCTCCTTAGCACCATTGCTGTGCTGCATGGGGACAGAGCACGGCCCTGCAGGGATGCTCTGTTCACATTTTACATGGCCCCAAGAACCAAAATGGAAATGCCTTTTGAAAAAAACAACAGCAACAACAAGAGAAGTTATCGTAGTTTTCTTATTTTGTGGGTTTTCTTTTTTTTCTCCCCCTTTGATAATGCACAGAGAGTGTTGTGACTTCTGTGATAGATAGCTGTCAGCAACTCTTCATTGCTTAGCAATCCACCAGGGCGATAGCTAGTATCCATCACTAGCACTCCTCCTGGGTGCCTGCATGTGGGTGAGTGGCACCCCACTGCTCCCCATTCATCAAACTGATACTGTAGTGGAGAGCAGCAGAGTTTTGTTTCAGTGTAGTTAGACAGGGGGCCTTTTCTGCTGAGTGCTGCAAGATGTAGTGGTGTCCTTGTGTGAAGGTTTCCATCTGAAATCTGGACACAAGTGTTAGCCTAAATGTGCTCTGGGTGGATTGGAATTTTTGTTTGCTAGAATCTCTGCAAGGGAACGTGGAGAGCAGTTTTTAATTTGATGTAAAGGAGCGTCACTGTAGCATATGTGTTGGGTTGGAGGTGAGGCCCTGGGTTAGGTTGACTCACCCTGGAGGAGGCAGAGTGCATGCAGCCGCTGCTCAGCATGGCTCTGCAGATGGTGTGTCTGTCTGCTTGCACGCTCCCACCCCCTTGCTCTCCTGCCTTCATTTCGGCAGCCCTCTTCTCCATCAAAACTCTTGATGAGTCTCAGCTCCCTTCACACTGGCTGGAGCAGCCGCAGCCTCTGCTGTGTGCTGGGCTGGCTGTGTGCCCAGGATCGATCTCCCGCCAGGCTGCAGTGCCCGTGCTGCTGCAGTGCTCTACCGGGTGTGTTTTGTCTTCCACTGCGCTCTGCAAATGCTAATTAGTCTTCTCAGCACCTTGGCTAGATAAGGGATCCCTGTTCCTATCTTGCCGATAAGGAAACTAGCAGAACTTGTTTTAAATCATCTACTCCTTCATCCATAAAGATGATAGAGGCTGCAGCACCCACTCCTCTGCTGGCACCCCTGCACTGTTTCCTGCGGAGGTGCAGAGAGCCTCCCTTTATTTACCCTCTTCCAAAAGTGCACAAAAGCCTCTGATGCTCCGGAGAGCAGCTATAGAAAAGAGAGAGGATGCCATCAGTGTCACCTCTGGGCTGCAGCAAGGTGGGAGCAGGCAAACAGCTGGGGCCTGTGCACTGGGACCAGGAGCCCCACTCTGCTCCAGCCAAGTGATCTGTGCACAGCCAGGCTGCCAAGTGAGCTCAGTTATGATTTTTTTCAGTGGTGCCAGGTATGTTGGTGCTGTCAGAGCAGACTGGTGCTCCCTACCTGTGAAAACCAGGCTGGCTACAGGCTTATGCTGTAGCACTTGGTACATTTGGAAGTTATATTTAGTTGGTGACACCTGTGGGTGTTGAGTGGAAGATTTTTAGGGACTGTTTTGAAAGCGTTCTTTCTTCCTACGCTGTTTTAAGGAAGGGAAGTTTAAAAGCCTTGTGGCAAGCTTTGTGCTGTGGAGCCAGGATTCTCAATGAGATGCATGTGGAATGAATGAGACTCATGTGGGCTTGCCACTGTTTGGTGGTTGGAGCAGTGCAGGCAGGCTGAGAAACTCCTGGTGGAAAAGGGGAGAGATCTGGGGGCATGGCTGAGAGCTTGGGTTGTCCCTGGAGTGAAATCCCCCTGTGGTAGCCTTATGAAAGGGAGCAGGGGTGGGGGAGTGCAGATGGCTCCATTCTGCCATGTCTGGCTCTGCGTTATTGACACTTCAAAGTCTCCAGCTCAGAGCAAGGCTGGGCCAGCAGGATGAATCATAAGTTTTGAGGCAAGGAAGGGTACTGGTTTTGATCATCTAGGCAAAGTGACCTGTCTTCTGCAGCAGATCAAAGCCAACTTTGAATGGAGTTAAGTTGGCTATTCATGGTGTTTCCCGGGGCGTCCCCAGATAGACCCTGCAATTCCTTGGGGCTCTTCTCTTCACTTTCCTCCCTTCCCCAACAAAGTTAGTGGAGATGGTGCTGGAGGGGCTGCCTCAGTGGTGAGCCCAGCATGGCTGCTTGGCAGTGCACAGCAATGGGCTCTGCTGTAGTGCAGAGCCCACGGCAGCCAGCATGCCCTGCAAGACAGGTGTTGAAGACCTGCACCAAAGTCCTGCAAGGCTGCAGAGGTTGAACCTTGTTCCAGCCTTCCTTGGAACTGGTACAGCAGCTTGACCCCATGTTGCTGTTCTGGCAGGGTCAGTTTTGACAGCTCTTTTTCCAGGCAGGGCTCAAGGTATTAAACCTTAAATTACCCCAGAGGCACTCAGTTATTTAAATACTCTTGGCTGCAGTGCGGTTTAAGCTCTTCCTAGATCTGACTCCGTCTGTGTGTTCCTTCTTGTGAACTTGCTGCCCCGTGCTGGGATGCACGAGAGATCAAAGCAAGGCACGAGATGAGCAGTGTCCATATGCTGCAGGCTGGGCCACGTGGGTACACGTCCACAGCCCTCTGCTGTGTGGAGCCAGCTGTGTCCGCGTGGAGAGTTGCCTCGCCTCTTCAAGGGCATGTTTGTTTTGCTGTGAGTAACAGCAGATTGAGTGCTGATTCTGTGCGGTGCCTCATGGAGCAAGCTGAACTCTTCACCACCCTTCCTCCTTGACTGGCAAGACCAAGAGGGGAGGGCTGAGCTAGGAGTGCCTTCATGCAGAGGGACAGAGTTCAGGACATCTTCTTGAGGCATCAGTCACCTGTATTAATCTGGAGTGGCTTCACTCCCTATCTGCACACAGTGCTGCAGTAGAGCTCTGTGTTCAGTGCACTTCCACTTAATCTTAATGGCCCTCTGTGAAACTCAGGTCCAAAGCTGGCTCTCTTTTCTGCTCAGCTTTCCCTTGTAGCTTTGCTGTGCTGAATGCTTTCTGCTTCCATGACTGTCAGCTGTGTTTAACAGTTTTATTCTCCTCCTTTTGCAGAAAACACAACTCCTGCTAAAGTGGTGAGGGCTGCCAACCCAAGACAGCGGAAAGGAAGCAAGGTAAGTCTGTTCCTGCTGTGCCCCTCACTGGCCCTCACTTCTGATTCAGATGTCAGTGCTGTGTGAGTGTCTTGAGGGTCTGGTGAGGAGACAGCTTCCTTTGCAAATCAGGTGGTGGAGGGATTGATGTACTGAACTGGCTGTCAGCACAGAGCATGCAGGAGAATGTCATCATTTTTCTCTTAAGCATTTTGACATTTTCATGCTCTGGGGACTGGTTCCTGCCCAACTGGGCTAGAGGAGACCTGGTTTGCCTCCCTGCCTGAAGGGATCACTCACAACGTAGTGCTGGATGTCGAAAGCTTGTATCTGCAGGTTTCATTCTTCCCTTTCCAGCCTGTTCTTTACCAGTACACAGAGAGCAAGGGTAATTGACTTCAAACAAAGCAACTTCTCAGGAAGAATCAGGGCAATCTGTTCCAGGGAAACAGCCTGTGATGGAGAGACAGTTGTTTCTGAGGATGTTGGATGCAGCTGAAGCATGGCTAGGAATGTGGTTATTGGTGTTGGCTCTCAGTAGCCACTGAATACGCATTTGAAACTTGATATGACTTCCTTGTCTGTTCCGTCTCAAGTAGAGGAGGGCTTTGGATGTGAAAGGTGCTTCTGTCTGTGAAACAGGCATGGCTGTACACTGCAAGTGGCTTTCCCAGGAAACTTGCCTCCTAGGGAGAGAAACATGGCACCTGAACCTAGAGACCTGATCTTATGGGGCAACTTGGCTACAAATTAACTTAGGAATAATAGTCCCCTCAAGGACAAGGAGGATCTTCTGTGCCCAGATCGCTGTAAATTCAACGACCAGCCATGATTCATTGTCTGCCCAGGCAGCTGATTTTTGGGTTCTTTCCTTGCATGCCTGCTCTGAAAGTTGGAGGAGGTGGAAATGATTATATTGTCCAGGTCACTTCTTGAGTGGAACAGACTGGTAGTCCTCCCATGTGAGAGTGGGATTTCTGGAATAGAGAGTATCACCACCAGATAACTGCTTGTTACTTTTTTTCTCTTCACCACTTGTGACTACATGATTCCTTTGCTTTGTGGTTTCCAACACTGGCAATTGGTCCCATAAATGAAACTAAACCTGGATGTAATGTGCCAGTAGGTCAAGGCAGCTTCTTTGACAGTATGTGGTTGTTTTAGGTGAATTAAGTGTGCAGAAAGTTGCATTCTTTACCTGTCCAAGGGATGAAGACTATTATGAGTTACCTCAGGTAGCTTTGTGCCATACTTTGCTGAGTGGTAGCTGGGAGCTTACAGGGTTGTTGGCAGCTTCATAACAATCTCTGACAGATGTAAATTTAACTGCAGTTATTGGGGATTAATTCAGGGGGAGGAGAGAAAAGTCTCTACAGGTGGTTTGGGTGTCATACCCAAGCCTCCTGGGAACAGCTGTGCAGTACACCAGTGGATAATAGCAGTGACAGTGTAGCTGGGAGGGCTTCTGACTGCTGCTCTAGAAAATGGCATTTATAATTAGTGCACTAATGGGACTTTTCTCTTTGTATACAAGGTTGGTGACTTCGGTGATGCTACAAATTGGCCAACACCTGGAGAAATAGCCCACAAGAGTGTCCAGGTGAGAAGACAATCCTCAGACACGGCATCCAGCTGAGCTGCAGTAATTTGCTTCCATTGTAGTGTGCCCAGGGAGGCTGTATGGTTGGCAGACAATTGCATTCTTTGTTTCTCCCAGGTAACAGCTTCAGGGGCTAGCTTGGATGAGCAGGCCCTTGCAGACCTCCCTGTTCCTCTGTGTCACTGGAAGCTCTGGCAGAGCCAGGCCATTTGGGGTGCTGAGTGCCAGTGTGAGGGCAGCCAAGAATAGCGTGCTGGGTGCAGGGGTTTGCCTTTTAGGGCTTCCCTGCACGTTGGGCTCCCTCCCTGCATGCTATTCTGGGAGCCTGGAGCCTAGTCTAAAGCCCTGGGCTTGGTGGAGCAGGTATAGCAGCTCCCAGATTTGCTGTCTTCAGGACTGCTCAGTGCATTAAAAGGGACCTGAGCAACTGCCAAGACTTTCACTAGGGAAGCTGAAAACATGTGCAAGAAAGGGCTTAAGGCACAGGGGAACCACCATTCTTTTCTGCTCCAGACATGGGTGATGTTGAAACTTTCTGTTTTGAGATGCTGCTTTGCCAGCTCCTGGCTGACTGTCAGGTCACTAGGGTCACTCTCCCTCTTGCTCCTGTGACAGTCTGGTCCCTTACAGAACCCCGTCACACACATACCTATCCAGGAGCATCAGGACTCTTGGCAGTCCCTCACATCTTATAATGTCTGTGCCTGGGACTTGTGTCTTAGCTTGAGCACTTCCCAGCATCTGTGGAACTCCTTGCCCTGGTCAAACACAACTCTGTCCCCAGTAACTGGACAGCTCTGGGCAGTGTGAAGCAGGGATGCCTCCAGCATAGGGCCAGGTCCTCTTTTTCCTGCTCCCACTAGGATTGCTGGGCTCTGCCTCCAACTCTTTAGTTTCTCATGACCCTCACATCTTTCCTGCACTAATTTGTCTCCAGCAGCCACACAAAGCACCATCCCTCCGGAAACTGCCTATCAAGAAAGACATGAAAGAACAGGAGAAAGGGGATGGAAGTGATGGCAAAGAGAGCCTGAAAACCAAATCGGATGAGTCTGGGGAGGAGAAAAACGGTGATGATGACAACCAGAAGTCAGCCCAGAAGAAGAAAGGTGAGGCAGGACATGGAAGACTCCTGGCAGGGACAGTCCCCCAGGCTCAGCCTGTCTTCCTTTCTGTGACCCAAAGCTAGGTGGAAGTGTCCAAAACTTTGCCTGTGGGACTAGCTGCAGTTTCAGCACGCTGACAGCTGCAGTTTGAAAAGGTGTTTGCAAGCTTCAACAGAGCAAAGTCTCATTTTGGTAACTGGAGAGACTCAGGCAGATGTTGAGGGCTTGGGTAGCCACTTGGGGCTTTTGTAAGGGCCTGGTCTGGAGTGGCCTTGCTCTGTTCAGCAGCATCTTGCAATGTGTAGGAGAGCATGTGAAGCAGGGCCTAGGTGTGGGCACCTGTATGTCTGTCCAGGGAGTGTGTCCTGCCTTTATAAGTATGCTCCATGGTGACACAGAAGAGCTCCTGGCTGTGGATTGCATCATCTATGGTTGCCGCGTGGGCTTGCTTTAGCCTGAGTCTTGGTGGGTGGAAAGGGGGGAAAGGAAGGACAAGTGCATGAAAGTCACAATAGAGTTTTGTATTATGCTTCTCCATGCCCAGGAGTCTCAGTTGGAGTCTTTCAGCATTCTTGTTATGCCCCTTACAGAGTTTTGGTGACAGCAAGGCCCTGGGGGATAACTGAGGAGAGGTCAGCCCTACTGCTTCCCCCACAGTGTGTGGGATGCATGGAGGGAAGAGGCTGTGAGATGGTAGCACCTGCTCTCTGAACCTGTGTCACACTCAAATCCTGTCCTTTTGCAGGCAACAAACACAAGTGGGTCCCTTTGCAAATAGACATGAAGTCAGAGGTGCCTCGGGACAAAACAGCCTCTCGGAACAACCGGCAAAATGAGCAGCACAGGCACCTCTCCAACAACCGTGGCGAGCTAAAAGGTGGGGACTCAGTATGGGACTCTACTCTCCTTCCTTGACCACAGGGCAGCAGGGGAATGTGGTGGGAATGCTTTGTGCAGTCGAAGAGCTCCAAGGGCAGTGGGCTTGCTCTAGGGAAGTACCTTCATCCTGTAATGCTCCTTCTGCCTCTCTTTGTCTGCTGCAGGCTGGCACCCGGACAACAAGCATGAGCGCCCCTGGCAGGACCATGATGAGACCTCCAGTGTGAAGAGTGAGGGGGGAGCTGTACGAGGAGCTTTCCGGGGCCGAGGCAGGGGCCGTGGCAGGGGCCGAGGCCGTGGCAGAGGAGGTACTTGCTGTTTGTATTGCCTTGTGGCAGAAAGAGAGAACAGGGCACGTGCCAGAGTGCAGAGCTATGTGTGTGTGACCTGGGGTTCTGAAGCAGACTGGGCAGGGCAGAGTGCTGCAGGGAGACAGTGAAGTGTGGCAGGTCATCCCACCTGGGGAGCATGAGTTGCCAAAGAGGACTCTTGATTTGAGATCCTCTGTGAGGAGCTATGTACTGCTCTGGAGGTGGCATCCAGCTGAGTTGATTTTAATAAGAGCAAATTATTCTTGTTAGTATTTTAATAAGGGTGAATGTCTTTGTTATTCAGGCCAAGCTCTTCCACCTGTTTTCTGCCCCTTGCAACAGTCCTGTGTGCAGCAGTTGCAGCATGCTGATATTCTACCTAGGCTTAATGTCACACTGAAAGCCAAGCAGGAATCTTTGCTTTTTTGGGAAGAGCTTCTACTAGGATTCAGCACTGCTATGTCTATGTGAACCCTGACATAACTTCAGTGCAGAACCTTGGTGCATTACCTAGGCTATGTAATTGCCCCTGGATGAGAGTTAGTGATCTCTTTTTGCTTTGGTGTGTCAAGGCTTCACTGGGATCCCTCCTGCAGCAAAGTCTGAGAGAAGTGGGCTGAGGAGTGAGTCGGCAATGCCCTGTTTTGTGCTGTCATGGAGGTCCCCCCCAAGGGCAGTGCTGAGAGAGCTGTTACTGCTGGTGCCCAGCCCCACATGGCAGCACAGGCTGTCTAGGAGATCTTGAGGCTCTGTGTTAACCAGGATGTTCCCTTGTTGGTGTCTTGCAGGGCACTTTGATTACCAGTATGGATACCGGAAATTTGAGGGCTCAGATGGCTCCCGTACCCAGAAGTATGCTAGCAACATCACTTACTACTTTGACAACATTAGCAGCACCGAGCTCTATAGCGTGGACCAGGAACTGCTCAAGGACTACATCAAACGGCAGATGTAAGCACCATGTCTCCCTGGCTGGATGTTCAGCAGTGCCTTCCCTGTAGATTGCGTAGCTAATCTCTGGGCTAGGGTTAGAGCCAAGGCATGTTTACTGTGTGCTGTGTATTTTGCAGCACCAGTTTGCCATTTGTCTAAGTTGCTGCTATTCAACCTCACAGGAACAGAAGCGGGGGGGGGGGTTGTTTCCACAGGGGGTTTCCTGAAGAAGGTAGCTGGATCTGTCTCTCACTGATGTGTTGTCCACACAGAGAATATTACTTCAGTGTGGACAACCTGGAGCGAGATTTCTTCCTGCGTCGCAAGATGGACTCAGACGGCTTCCTTCCCATCACCCTGATCGCCAGTTTCCACCGGGTGCAGGCACTGACTACTGACATCAGTCTCATCATCAAGGTGAGGGCCTGGAAAGCTGAACCTCCTCTCTTGTCTGGCTTCTTGTTTTCTTTGCCTGTTTTCTAACTAGGTCATGGATGAGATGCAAGTGACGCCTTCTCTTGTCCTTGACTTGCTCTCTCCTCCTCTTGAATCACATAGGGAGGAGGGGTTGAAGCTGAGCCCCTCAGTGTGCCATAGCAGGGCCTTGAGCTAACCTGATTTCGGTTGGTTCTAGGCTTTAAAGGACAGCAAGGTGGTGGAAATTGTGGACCAGAAGATCAGAAGAAAAGAGCAGCCGGAAAAATGGGCTCTGCCTGGCCCTCCTATGGCAGACTACACGCAGACTGACTTCTCACAGTTCATCAACTGCCCCGAGTTTGTGCCCCGGCAAAGCTTCCAGAAGGAGACAGGTTAGTGTCTGGGGATTGTGGAGGGAACTGTGAGACCCGGTTTGGTGCCACAGCAGGTCTAAGCCCCTGTCATGAATGTTCCAGGACAGGGTTCTGCCTTTTGGTTTGTAGGCCTGAGCTTGAGTAGCTAAGTAGGGGATCTGGTTGGTGCTGTTGTAAGAGTTTATGCAGAAGAACATCTCTTCTCACTGGTATCAGGCTGTCATGGGAAAGTTTCTCCCAGAGCAACAAAATCACCACCTGCTTTAGGGCTCTCTATGTATCTGGGAAACCCACACCTGCAAAGCTCTGTGGTCACCACCAGCATCACAGCCTTAACCAGAGATTTTTTTTCAGCACTCTGGGGCAATGTGCTGGTGAGCAGGAATGTTCCTGCCTTAGTCATTGCCTGCTCATGTGTTCCACAAGCTCTGCTGCCAAAATAACTTCCTCTAAATCAAGTGCCTTATGTATGCTACCACTCAAGCCTCCTACTAAAGCATTTGTGGTTCTTGTTGGCTCTAGAGTCTGCTCCTGGCTCCCCACGTCCCACCAGCCCAGTCCCCACAAAAACAGAGGAAGTCAGTAACCTGAAGACAATGCCCAAGGGATTGTCCACAAGCCTGCCCGACCTAGATTCAGAGACATGGATTGAAGTGAAGAAGAGGCCTCGGCCCTCTCCAGCCAGGCCCAAGGTATGTAGCAATGTAGACTATTGGGGTGGAGGTCTACTGATTGTTTTTCCAGGGGCTGTAACCCTAAGTGAGCAGCAGGTTTCAGATCACATAAGGTCTGTTCGTCATAAGTGATGCCCCCATCTACTTGGGGCTGCTTCTTAGTGACAGAGATATAAATAAGGTGTTCTCCTCAGACAGACAACTTCTGTCTGTCATAAAGAAACAAGGGGCAAGAGCTGGGTCTCCCAGCAGTAGGCCTGTGCTCTATGTGCTGTTTGTGCTGCATCAGCATTGCTCCCCCTACCTGTAGAAACCAGAGGAGTCAAAGACCCCACAGCAGCAGAAACAAAAGGACCAAGATGAACCCGAGGAGTTGGACTTCCTCTTCGATGAGGAGATGGAACAGATGGATGGCCGCAAGAACACGTTCACCGACTGGTCAGACGAGGATTCAGATTACGAAATTGATGATCGGGATGTGAACAAGATCCTCATCGTGACTCAGACACCTCCATACCTGCGCCGGCATCCTGGCGGAGACCGGACTGGCAACCACACATCCAGGGCTAAAATGAGTTCAGAATTGGCCAAGGTGATCAATGATGGGCTGTACTACTATGAGCAAGACCTGTGGACAGAGCAGTTTGAGCCAGAGTACTCGCAGATCAAGGTGAGAGAGGAGATCTGAGGAGGAGAATTCACAAGGGGCTCCTCCCAGGGAGGTATGGTGGGTTGGCCATGGTGATGGTTTGGGTTTGGTTCCTGGCTCATGACTGGGGCAGAGCTCAGCAGGGACTGATCTTGCTGCAGAGCTCAGGATTTCTGATTTCCAGTGTCATGCTGTGTTATGTTTGGGATAAATACAGCTCTGTAATGTGCTGTAAGGCTGCAGCCAGTTGACTGAGGTTCTGGTAACTAGTTGACCAGGGTCTTGGCTGTTCAAGACTGCAGTAGTGTATAGGCAGTGCCAGATGACTTGAGGGAAGTAGCTGTATGCACTGCCTGTAGTGCCTAGTGCTTAATGGCACGGTCTCTTGAGACCTCAGTTATTGTTCATTGATGACTGGGGCACTCTTGACCTGTGCTGTTTTCCATTTTTCTGCCAGTTTGCATAGACTGGTACTTTTTTTATAGAAAACTTGCCTGCCTCTCTGAGTTTGATCCCCAAGTTGGTGACTCTTGCAGTCAGGAACTTGCCCCAGGCTCTTGCAGTGACTGAAGCTGTATCTTGTGCTCACCATTGTGGCTGATGCACAAACAGAGTGGTGGTCACAGTGAGCTGTTGAGATGAGACAACAGGGCGTTTGGTTGCTTCATCATATTCCTCTTCCAATGCAGCAAGAGGTGGAGAACTTCAAGAAAGTGAATATGATCAGCAGGGAGCAGTTTGATACTCTGACCCCAGAGCCCCCCGTGGATCCAAACCAGGAGGTCCCTCCTGGCCCCCCCAGGTTCCAGCAAGGTAAGACAGTGTGGACAGGACTGTGGGTAGGACTGAATTTGTCCCCTTTCCTTTTGGTGAGTGGTCCTCAGGGGTTCAGAAATAGCTAGAGGGAGCAAGTAAAGCCACAGCTGTTTATCTTTCCCAGTGGGGTGGTGTTCTCCCAGCTAAACAATTTGGAGCTCCAAAGGAGGAGGCCCAGAAGCAGGAGTGTCTCCACGGGATGAGGAAATCTGGACAGACTTCCATGAATATGACTTCCTCTTGGACCCTTTCATTGCAGTGTCCCTTGCTGAGTACTTTAAAGGCAGTTATCTGCTGGGCCTTGCTTGCCTATTGGTGGGATCTGATGCTCAGGCAGACCACTGGTCTGATCTTCCCCTAGAAAGCAGATACTTTGCAGGGTCCCTGAAAATGTCTGCTTTCCTGCTGCCAGGCTTTGATTTCTCTGTTTGCAGAATGACTTTGCAGTTGTTTGTCTCAGGAGGACTAGGATGTGTCCAAGAGCTCCTAACCCAATGGGTGCCCTTTGGCTGTAGTGATGCTCTTGTACTCAGAGATCAGTTTGACCCAACTTCGGGGGGTTTATCTCTGCAGTACCTACAGATGCTTTGGCTAACAAGTTGTTTGGAGTACCTGAACCTTCAACCATCGCCCGATCTTTGCCTACAACTGTACCAGAATCACCCAACTACCGTAATGCCAGGACCCCCCGGACCCCTCGCACACCTCAGCTGAAGGACCCTACACAGACACCCCGTTTCTACCCAGTGGTGAAGGAGGGCAGGACGATAGATGCCAAGGTAGGACCAGGGCTTGGGGCATGGGTGAGAGGCTGGGACTTCCCAGCTGGGATGTGGAGAGGAAGCAAACGTGTCCCTGATGCACTGTGTCTCACAGACCCCACGGAAGAGGAAGACAAGGCACAGTTCAAATCCCCCAATGGAGTGCCACGTGGGCTGGGTGATGGACTCCCGGGAGCACAGACCCCGAACAGCCTCCATCAGGTACTGGAAATGGGAGAATGGGGTCATGGAGGGACCAGAAACAGGAAAGAGAGCAAGTGAGGGAAGGGCAGTGTTTGATCTCATAGGGCAGGTCACCTCTTAAGTGGCTGCAGAAGGAGCTGGGACCTGTCTTATCCTAGAGGGAGCTGTGAAATTCTGCAGTTTTGATCTAATGAGATACAATTTGTCTGGGAATGTTGGTTTCCTTTCTAGTAGGATGCTCTGTAACTCAGGTCCCAAACTTGGAGTGGGTGCAGTCACAGGTGGGACAAACAGATGAGTGTTGCAGAGTGGAGCATGACTCCACTGTGTTGTTTGTTGTCTGGTTACAAAGGAATGGGTTGACGAGGCTCTCTTGTGTGCAGCTCCAGTCCCTCTGAGGGAACTCCGGCTGTTGGAAGCTATGGCTGCACCCCGCAGTCCCTGCCCAAGTTTCAGCATCCTTCCCATGAGCTGCTCAAGGAGAACGGCTTCACGCAACACGTCTACCACAAGTACCGTCGGCGCTGCCTTAATGGTAGGCATGTGGGGAGGGCTTCCTCCCACTGGGTGTGGAGCAGGGTGCTTGTGATCTATTGTATAGGGGCATAGAGTATGGCAGCAGAGTCCATCCGCAGTGGTAAATGGGGTCCTGTAGGACAAGCTTGCTGGTAGCAGATAATTCCTCATGGTCTAGAAAGTTAATGGTGTCCAATAATATGTATAAAATTATATCTATATAAACTTTAATGTATATATAAATAAAATAAGACTTTCCTCTGTGAGATCCCCTGTGTATGGCTGGTTCCCTGGGAGAAAGCATCTGTCTTGTAACCAGCCGTTCTTCCCCAAACAGAGCGAAAGCGGCTGGGCATTGGTCAATCCCAGGAGATGAACACGCTCTTCCGATTCTGGTCCTTCTTCCTACGAGATCACTTCAATAAGAAAATGTATGAGGAGTTTAAGCAACTGGCTGTGGAGGATGGGAAAGAGGGATACAGGTAAGAGAGGAAGAGCTGAATGGCCTTTTTTGAGATGGAATTGTGGGAAGGGTGTTTAGTCTTTGAAGGCTTAAAGGTAAGACCAGGACCACCCTAGATCACATCCGTTTTCTGAGATGCAGCAGGGTTCTTGCCTAGGTGTTGCATGCACCAGTGTCTGAGCACCACATACTCTTCTGTTTCCAGGTACGGTCTGGAGTGCCTTTTCCGATACTACAGCTATGGGCTGGAGAAGAAATTCCGGCCAGACATATTTAAAGACTTTCAAGAAGAGACCATCAAGGATTATGAAGCTGGTAAGTGTCTCCTTTGCCTTTACCTGAGCTTAGCAGTGATGTTGCCCAGATGAATGTGTGCTCCTGTGCCTCCTTTTGTGACCTGGGGAAGGCCATGTAATTCTGTGTCTGACAGTGACAAGCTGTGATATCCTTGAGCCCTGCTGTCCTGCAGGTAAGAAATGCTCCTGCACAGAGCAGAGCTGCTTGCTTTGCAGGAGAGGGTGGAGTGAATACGGAGCTATAGGGATATGGAGTTAGACTGTAGAAAGTCACAGCTTTCCCACCATTCATTGTGGTCACCAACCCAGTCACAGAGCCTGGAGCCATTTCCCATCAAGGGTGCTGCCCTATGCTGATGTAGGTTGTTTTCCTCCAGGTTCCTCGCATTTTGTCACTGCGAACCAGTAGGACAGGTGGACCCATGAGACAGGCAGTGAGGAAGCCTTTAGGAAAGACTTCTGACTCCTGGTTTGATTTTCTTCCCCCTCTAGGCCAGCTCTATGGGCTGGAAAAGTTCTGGGCCTTCTTAAAATATTCCAAAGCCAAAAATCTGGACATCAACAGCAAACTGCAAGAATACCTCAGCAAGTTCAAGCGCCTCGAGGACTTCCGAGTGGACGTGAGTAGAAACAGTGCCCCACACACCACAGTAAAGGACCCCCACAACTGCTCCAAGGCCTTTCCAAGGGCAGAGGGTTTCAGGACAGGGTTGCTGAGCAGGGTGGGTGGCCAGTGGAGTCAGTGACACCTAGTGTCATAGTCCATCATTGCAGCTGGGCCAAGAACAAGCAGCCTCAGCACTTCAAAATCTTGTGTCATCCTTCAGCAGCTGCATCATTGAAACAGCAAAAGCTCAGAGGCCAGTTAGGGCTGAAATTTATTAAGAAGCCTTGTGTGCTTCCCTTTCCCTGGAAAGTGCAGGCCATTCTCTGTACCTTAGCTGAGCAGTGAGTGAGGCTGGATATGGCAGGATTGTGCTGATGTTGCTGCCAGCTCATCAGGTATTGAACAGGAGCTGAGGAGCTAAGGCTTGCACACCATCCTTGGAGCACAAGGATATGAGCAGAGATGAGTGCAGGTTAGGGGATGTGGCTCAGATGGATATGATGAAGGCAGGTAAACCATTGAGTAGGGAAAGGAGGATATTTGTTTGGATGGAGCAGCAGAGCTGCATGCACTGCCCATGGAGATACATGAGAAAGCTAGGTCTTTTCTTACTTCTTGGGTCTTTCATATACTGTCTGAGTCATCAATCAGACTTTCAGTTACTACTGCCTTGGTATCTCTAAAGAAAAGCAATTGCTGCAGGGTTTGAATACTGTACATCAGCTTCAGGGCAGTTCTCTGGGGAAATAGATGAGTGCCTCTTCCCTGATGATCTGGAGGGGGAGGAGAAAAATAGGAGGGAAGTGAGCCTTAATGGCTTGAGTGGAGCTGGCCTTGTGTAGCTTTGTCTCCCAGACTCCTGGACACTGCTCCTCTCAGGAGGAAGGAGGTGCCTTAAGCACAGGGTGACAATTTGGTCTTTCTTGGAAGACTGTCAGCAATTCTGGCAGTGGTGGATTTGAAGAGGAGAGCAGCTGTCCTAATACTGTATGACTTGGGCAGGTATGTGTGTTCACTGTGGGTCAGAGGGGCTGCAGTCAGAAGCCTGCAGCAGGGATGCTTTCTGATCCAGGGGAAAGAATGTGCATTTGATGGAGGCTGTGCTGATACTGGGGTGCTTCTGTTACAGCCACCCATGGGAGAGGAAGGTGGACACAAGAGATACCCAACGACGTCAGGGGGAGATGGCAGGAAGCGCTACCCATCCCAGTCTTCCAGCAAAACGGTCGGCCAGTGCCCATCCAGCCAAGCCCACGCCTCGCCCAGTCAGCCTGCACAAGAGGATGCCAAAAACCTGAGCCAGCAAGTCCCTGCTGCAGAGTCGCAGACAGTGGGGAAGTAGAGAGGATGCAACTTCTGCTTCCCACCAGGAGACAGGATGGGTTGGTGGGGGACTGGCTCAGAGAAGAGGATGAGGGGTGGGATGGGAAGGGAGTTGGAATGTGGGTGCCCAGGAATAGCCTGCTGGGAGAAACTTCAACGCACATGATTTTTTTTTTTTCTCTTGTGGCTGGAAAGCAAAGACAATTCGCATCTAAAACACCGTTTTGCTATTACAAACCTGACAGAGCCAGACCCACCCCCACCAGACCCACCCTTTGCTTTTCATTCTCATCCCTCCCCTCCTGTGCACACGCTCATGTCTTAGTGTATCTTCAAAAAATATTCTGGCTGGGTTGGAAAGGGGAGATTTTTTATTATTATTATATATATATATCAAGTTTTAAATTATTGCTAGAAGTTTGTCCAGATTTACCAAAACAAGTCCGCTCTGTGCAGCCCTGGTGACTCCTTTTGTGTCCCCACCCCTTGGATCGCTGGGCAGCCCGGCCAGGAAGCTCGGAGGAGTGAGGTTCCCTAGCAGGGGCCGAAGCCACAGCATTGCAGTGCTGCGGAGCCTCTGATCTCCATGACCTGGCTGACATTTCCCATCCCACGTCTGGCAGTGCTTCTTCGACACCAACCGTCGCTAAAGGCACCCAGCCCTGTTGGTCTTCCTGGTCTGTCCTCCCCAGCGTCTTCATTTCCAACCTTCTTGCGGATCTGGCTCTCCCTCTGCCCATCTCTTCTCCCTTCCATCACGGACAATTTGGAAGTCAACCAAAGGACCTTTGCCAAGGATAGGTTTGTTGTGACTCCTTCCTGCAAGAATGGCAGCTGGGAGGCCGGCAGGCACCTGGACTTGAATCTGTGTGGATGCCGCAGCCACCTGCCCAGGGCCCATTGCATGCAAAGACAGGACTTTGCTGAAGGAGCCTTCCTCTTCCTTTTCCCTTGCAAAAACGAAACAAACAACAACAAAAAACCACAGTACCCCCTGAAACAACAACAAAAACTCTAGAAAGACGTTTTCCTTTGCTTTCTTCCTTGGATATATTAATTGAAGAAGAAAAAAAAAAACCACAAAAATACAAAAAAAAAAAAAAAAAGTTGCCTTATGGTGGAGCTGGAATGGGGAGGCTCACTGGCCTCTTGTGCCCCAGGGCGTGCTGGGCGCTTGGCCCACACCCACAGACTCCTCCTGGCACTACCGCCGAGCCCACCTGCCCTGCAGCCTCCTCCAACCCACAGCTCCCTGGGATGCTCCTGCAGGGAAGGCACCGATTGCAGTCATACTCCAGACTTGTGCTCACCAAGTAGTTGAAGTCCTATGTTGTGTGTACATACCACTGTAGCATCCTCCCTGCAACGGTGACTGTGCGCTTGTGGCATCGCTCGGCCTTTTCTGGGCAGCCTAGGTTGTGCCTGGGAGATGGGCAGCATCTACCAAGGCAGCTGGAGGGACTCTGGTGCTGGGAGGGCAGGCAAGGCCTCATGTAACCCGATGCTGTTGCCTGACGCACAGTGCAACTCCTGCTGCTGCCAGCCAGTGAATCTTGCTCTATGTCCCAGTAGGCAGTTGCCCATTGGAGGAGGGCTTTTGCCTGGGTAGCTGCACTGGGGGCTGTGACACTGTCCTGGGGGATGTGCTGTGCAGCACCATCTGGGCTGTGGCCAGCAAATCCTCCCCAGGTCCATATTGATTGCATCCCTCACAGACACGTGGCTGTGTGGGGGGGCATGGTCCAGGAGTGAGATTTGTGCCCCAGAGCTCCTCTTCAGTGAGAGCTGCTTGCCTTGCTGCTCTGCTGCTCTGCTCTGTGCCCTGGGTCAGGACCTGTGCTTTGCAGCTGGCTTGGTTGAGGCTCTGGCACGCTGTCCTCATGTGCTGTGAGCATGCCGTGTGTGCATGGTGCGGAGCGGGCGCTTGGTGGGCTGTGGAAAGATGCAGCTGATTGCATTGTCCTCTGCAAAATCAAAAGCTGGTAACAAACATTTCCCTGAAGTATCTCAAAGTCAGTAGAGCACTGTGTCTTGTTGCTGCAGGAAGGAGCCATCTCCTTAGGCTGTGTCTGTATGGCTGTGAGGCTTGCAGGTGGGAGTAACCAGATGCTGAGCAGAACTCAAGGTGCTGAGATGGGCAAGGGGCTGGAGGCTGGAGTGGCTGCAGCTGCTTGCTGGACTCTGGCTGATGTTGCCTTCCTGAATTGACACTGCATCAAAGTCCTGCTTTATGGGTGAGGGAGAGGTACTGGTAGACAGGGCAGCTTGGTGAACTTGGGATGGAGAGTATAGCTGGGGATTGAGTGAGACTGGGCAGCTGCTGCTTCACTGTTTCTTCATGGTGTGATCATCTTCTGGTCTGTCTGCTGCTATCACAATGTTCTGCAGCTTGGTACTGCTCAGAGGCTGGGTTTGGGGATGCTGTGTCCAGGTCATCACCTTGCTCTGGGTCTCCCAGTGTACGCAGGCTGGGCTGGCAATTAGCTTTGGTGTAACTGCAGCCTCAACTGTTACGTCCACATTTTTCTTCTCCTGTGAGCTGAGTCGGATCTCTGATACAATGGATGTGGCAGGGCTTGGGCCTGCTTTGGGAAGGAAAAGCCTTGGAGCCTGGACTTGGTGTTGACCAAGGCTGTTAGAGAAGTTTTGATGGTTGCATGCAAGTGGCAGTAGGTTTGAACGTGCTGCAGGTGGTCCTTGCTGCGTTCCCTATGTTCCTCTCATTGGTGCGTGTTCTTCGGATGCCGATGATCTGCTTTTGAGCAACAAACAAAACAGGAAACTAGGAGAAACAAACTCCTGCTGTGGAGATGTTCCTTTTGGAACAGACTGTGGAATTGTTCGGGTGGTAGAAGAGACTAAAAAATGTCCCATAGAATTTTCCAGAACTTGAACTAATCTGAAATTATCCCTCTAATTTCTGAGGCTAAGGCTCTGTCTGGTCTTGGCACAGAAGAGTTTTCCCCTCTGAGTCAGTGCTTTGTTGCATTGGTGTGGCTGAGGGTGGCTTTTGCAGGAGGTCAGAGGAGAGATCCCAGCCGTGGCAGTCTCTGTTATGGGACAGTGAGCTGCATGCTGCTGTGTGCCTTGTAGCATCTCCATCAGACAGCAGCATCTCCGGAGAGTGAAGGGAAGATGGAAACTAACAGCCTGCTCAGCTGGTGCTCACTGCTGGGGCAGGAGGCAGCTGCTCTGTGCTGCAGGGCAGGTGATGACATCTGCAGGTACAGTGGAACTGCTCGGGGGCTGAGCTCTGCAAGGCTGTCTCGTGTCCTACAGCAGGCATGGGGATGGGACTGCAGTGCTCCCCCTCTTGTGTGCACACCCTGCTGGTGCTGTGCAGCCATGTGCATCAGGCGTTGCGCGTGGCTCGCTCCACCCCAGGGAAAGAGGACAGCTGTCCGGAGTGTGGTTTTGCTTGGATCCCTCTTGTCCTCCTGCTGAGGAAGGAGTTTGGCCTTGCTTTTAGTTTGGATGCTTCATCACGATCATATATAATGATTTTTTTTAAATTGTTATAACAATCTGAGCAATCAGGTGCTCTTATTCCTGTGGCTGCAGTGCCACTTGCTGACCCCTGCATGGCTGCAGGCACTCGCAGCAGCTCCAAACCTCTGGCAGGGGTCAGCAGTGGAGGTGGACGGTGTGTTTCAGAGGAGACTTTGTTGCTTAATGCGTTCATTTGGGGGGGGCGGGGGGGAAGGAAAAAAAAAAAAGATAATAATAGTACTGCTGCTCCATTTGCCTGTCTGTCCCTCTCCCTGCTGCACTCCCCCCATCAGCAGCTTTTTGCTGTAGCCCATGGGTTCCCTTGAGGTTTGGCAACTGCTCACATTGCTTCAGACTGGTGACTGTACTGTAACGATGATTTGTGAACCTCAGCATGCTGCCACGCATCCACACATTCAGTGTGGCAGTGCAGAGGGGGCCTTTAGCTGTTAATGCCTTTCCAGTTATTTTATCAAAAGGAAAAGAAAAAAAAAAAAAAAGAAAAAAGAAAAAGAAAAAAAAAGGAAAACTGTAAATGTAGCAAGCTGTGTTTGCAATGCTTATTTTCTCCTGTTTCCTCTGAGACTGGTTATGTCACTGTCACTGTTTAGAAATGGATGCTAGGCTCTTTTAGAGAGGGTTGCTACACTTGATGTTAAATGCCTCACTGACTCTTCTTTTTTTTTTTTTTTTTAAAGTTTCCAATACAGGTAGAATGACTTTTTAAAAAAAAAAAACAAATTTTCATCTCAGTGGCACAGAGTGGGTGCCTGGAGGGCAGCATTTCAATGAGTAGTTTACAGCTTCACTTTCTGCAGACACTTGAACATAGGACCGACGTATCTGTGACAAGCACATCCCCTCGGTGGGGAGCTCCAGAAGAGCATGGACCGACCCAGGTACCACCGCCCCTTTGCAGCACTCGGGGTCACCCAAGGCCTTTGCTGCCCTCCTGTCCCCATCTCCCAATGGCAGTCTTGTGGGTGGGCTGGGGATGGTGACAGCTGTAATGGGAGAGGGGTGCTTACAGCACTTGGTCCCCGAGCCTCCCTGGTGCAGTTGTACGCCCATAGGGAAGGCAGCTCACCCTGCTGCCTCCTTCCTCTCCCAGCCTGGTCTGCTCCTGCTGGGTTTGGAAATCCTTGGATCTCAGAACCTATCACTGAGTTGTGCCCAGGGGAGGCTCTGCCTGCCTGCTCCGACTCGCTCAGGTCACGTGGGTAAGACCTCAGCCTCGGTGGCTGGAACAACAGGGTGATGGTTCGATGTGCTGGCCCTTCTCAGACTGGCTATATCCCAACCTCAGCCTTCTGTTCCCCAGACTAGAAAGTGTGTGCAACCTTCTTCAGCCGCATTTATCGTAGAGACAAACTTAAAATGACTCATCACAGACCATTTATCAGTTGGGAGGAAAATCTTGTTAATATGGCCCGCTGTACATGATCCATCTTCTGTCGATAGTACATAATCTTTGACCCATGTGCTAGGATCATCATCGCATATAAAAGGAAAAGAGAAAAATGTAAAATACTTGAATGAGAGCTTGTATTATAACATTAATATTATTCAGAGTATCTGCTTTCTAGGCTGATGTGATTCATTATTCTAGTAATGCTTTAGTCCTTTGTAATTTGTGGTAATTATGCTTTTTCCTTTTTAATACAAAAAAAAAATGTATAAAAATAAAAACTTCAAAAGACAGTGCGGTTTGGGTTTTCTGTTCTGCTAACCATTGTGTTTTCTACAGAGGGCTGTAGGCTCTGTGGATGGGCTGGCTGGTGCAGGGTGGTTGGAAGATCTGGAGGACAGTGCAGGAAGAGCTGCTGCCATGAGCTGACACCCATGAGGCTTGACAGTAAGAGCTGATGTAGCAGGACTTGTGTCAGTTGGATTTCAGGCTGAAGGGACCTCCCTTCTTGTGGGGACAGTGACTGAGAGGGTCCTTGTTTCCTCCCATATAAATTTAACAGGAAAAACTTAGCTCCCAACTGTCCTTACCTTTCCTGTGGGAGAAACTACATTTGCATAGGTTGGTTTGTGGAGTGTTGATGAGGATGAACAGCTTTTGAAATAAGACCTGCATCTTACAGAGTGGAAAAACTACTGAAGGAAAAGCAGGCCTGTTATGTGCATGAAGGGGATGTCTGAAGCCATGTGGGTTTGATTCCTGTGGTATGTAGTTACAGTGATCTTACTGGTATTGTTAGAGAATGCTGCTGGAAGAGGCCATGCTGTGGTCTATGAAAAGTTATAACCTTGACAATGAGAATTCAGCAACTCCCGAAACCACATAACCTAGAATTCATCTTACATGCAGGCAGCTGGAACCAAGAAGTAGTGCAATGGTTTAAAAATAACTTTCTAGAGTTGTTTTTTCATGCTTTAGATGGAAAATAACAGGCAGTATATGAAGTCATCTCAAGTATCGTGTTTAAGTTCAGTTTTGAGATTCATTACTCGTGAATAATAACTTGTTTCCCAAGTAAAATATTAGTGTAAATCATTGTCTCTTCCTCTCCTTATCCCTGGACTGCAGGAGCTGCAGGCTGGAGGGTTCACCCTGCTCTCTTGGGTATATCAGGGATGCTTTTGGAGAGCGGTGTGAGGCTGAGGAGGACCCTGTGTCTCTCGTAGGCTTTGCTTTGTCTGAACACATCATCTGTTCCATGCAGATAATCCAACACTCCCAGCACTCCATAACACTGGTTGAACCTGGAAGTCAAACAGAATAAACATCACTGGAAGTTACTGAAGTTACCTCACCCTCCCTATTGCCATCTCCTTTCAGAGCTCTGATAAGCCATTCACCTGATTGCTGCTGCTGTACCTGTCTGCCTCACAGCTCTGATGAACCCCTCGATACATCGTTATCCAGGAATGGTGGCACTGAACAACTGCCCTGAACCACTCACTGCCCAGCAGCTCAGAGCTGTGGGAGCAGCTGGGTGCCCACCTTGCCGTGTTCTTGAGACCAGGCTGCCCAGAGACGTGGAGCTGCTGTGCTCTCAGCACCGCAGATGCTGGCACAGCCATTCTGCCCAGACAGCATCTGAGCCGAGCTGCAGATGAAGTGGTTGGTAACAAGAACTGGGCCCGTGTTTTGGGTGTTGCTTTGCACTTAGGTTGCATCAGAACTGCCACATCTTCTGTTTCTGCAGAAGCAAACTGCATGAGGAAGTGTTTGTATGAATTTAATGCACAGCAGGGCAATGTTTTTCCTCTGTTTTGATAAGTATCCCTGAACACTGTACTGAAAGTTTGCGCTCTCCAGTGTAAAAGGGAGCTGGGAACCTTTGCCAAGAAGTGTTAATTGAGGCTGTTTGGCCAAGGCATTACCTGATCATCGCTAACCTCAGCATATGGGAAAGATTCAGGGAAACTCCTGCTGCAGATTTATTGTGCCATGTGATTCGCCACTGCTCTGTTTTGATTCTAGATCATACACAGTATCTTCTGAACCTCCAGGCATAGCCTTGCAGGGAACTGTCTTTGTGTTTGTGCTGGGGAACGTCCAGGTGATAGCTGCTACTTCAGACACTCCGTACTTTCCTCCCGTGTCACCTTAGGACACTTGAAACACTTGGACGTGGCTGCTGTGTTTGTGCTTTAGATAAGCTGATAAGTCAGCTGATGGAGGGTAGATGTCAGTGAGGTGGATGGCAGTTGTGTGGGAAGGCAGCTTGGTTTGGAAACCGAAGCTCTGTGTAACTGCTCTAGGACCTGACAGCATTCTGATCCGCTGTTACGTGAACTGGATAGGTTTCTCTGCTTGTATGTGAATGATGAAAATCACTTGGCTCTCAGAAAGGAGCTTTGTCTGCAGGCAGTGACAGGGCACAGGAAGTAGGAGAAAGGGAGCTGGGACGTACTTGAGGTGATGGAAGTCGTGGAATTCGGGTGATGGTAGGAAGGGCAGGTGGTAACCGCAGTGCGAAATGCTCGTTGTTACAAGAGCAAGGGAGAACCATGCTGTGATTGAAACCATGTGAGACCCCATGAGCATTGGGCCAGTCATGACAGGCAGCGTGTTGGAGAGCTAGAAAAGAGAAGTAAACCACCTCATTAATGGGACCACAACGAGCAGGCTGTCCTTTAGGAGCTGAACTGTTTCACCTGGGTCTGTTGGTTTTGTGCAAGCAACACAAAGGGCAGATCCCTCTGAAAATACCTCACCAAAACTACATAATCATCAAAGATATAATTGTACTCTGAGCCAACTCAGGTTTACTCACTGTGGAATACAGTCAGTGCCCCAGATCCCTAAACTTGCAATAAAAGATTCTTAGGAAAGCAAGCAGTATAAAGGTTCTAAGTCCACGTGATGTGTGGACACGTGCAGCAATGTGATGATCCCAGCTGTGTCGATTCATTGCGTCCTCCCAGTGGCACAAATAGCTGTCAGTGCCCAGATCACAAGCTTACTGCACCAAAAAGTCATTCTTATAGCCAAAGTCTGTCAGAGGCAGACTCACAGAGCTGCTGAAGCAGTTTGGGCCTCTTATTAACAGGAGACGGTAATTAGAAGTGGAAACTCTCTGCTCAAGGAAACACCATTCAGACCTTTCCTTACTGATCGGAGGCCCTTGGATTTGTGCTCTCAAAGCTAGTGAAGTGCAGTACAAACAGGCACTGCAGCACTTCTACAGCTGGGCTTCCTGGAAATGCAGCTTAGCTTTCTCTTCTAAGAAAGAAGATTCCAAGGAAGCATTTGCTTTGCTTCCCTTACCGCTGCTCCTCATCTCATGGAAACTGCACTCCATGCAAGAAGTGGAAGGTGACCATGGGAGAATCCACTTACTATGTGTTCTAATGGGTGAGCATAAATGGAGACCACGCCAATGGGGGCTGTCCATTCATGGTGCTTCTTGTGGATGTGTTTGTACAGCAGTGGGAGATGAACAAGCCTAAGTAGAGAAAAAAAAGAAATGTAGTTTTGTACCCCATATAAAAGGAATGTAGAGTAACAGAACACCCCCCAGAGACTTGCTTGTGTCCATCTAAAACAGATCTTAGAGCCAGGAATGGCAGTGTAGGATCTATGGTTTCCTCTCGTTAGCACCCAGCCCTCATCCAACGGTTTCACTGTCTGCTGGTTGATGTTACACTTAAGTTCTAATACATCCCATAAAATCTATCCTATAAAAGTCTATGAAAGACTGATTTGCTCAGACTCGCGAGTACATTTTAGTGAAAGACTCAACTTCATATTTTTACTATTCTGACTTTTCCGACTGGTAACAATTAGAGACAGGATTTTAGGTTTCCTGGACCCTTAGTAAGAAATGGCCTCTTGTTTTCTTTTCCCATTGCCCAAAAGGGAAATCTGTGTATTTCTGAGAATGCTGTGCTTGCTTCTGCACGGTCTTGCAGGCTTTTTCCTTCCTTGCTTCAATTTTATCTTCCACTACTGGAGTAAATGGTCATAAAACCTGTAGTGTTGGGAGCTAGGCTATGTTTTGTAGGTGCTGTTCAGGTGAAGAGGACATCAGTCTCTGAATTCTTAAGCTTTTTTTTTCTGTCAAGATACTCCTATTCTCCTCTTTTCAAAGAAAATAGCTCCATTTCTCTTCCTAAGCTGCCATTTCTGTAGTTTTTACCCATTTTTGCTCACTGTAGTTTCTAGCAGCATTGCAGCAGTTAAGCCTCAAGCAGTAAGGATGAGTTAAATACAAGACTGATGGAAGAGGGTGGACCAGGACCGTTGCTGTTTCAAGAGCAGGGTATAAGCTTAACAGTATGGGCACAAACCAGAGTTCTGTTCTGTGCTCAGCTCACCTGTGTGAGTAATAGAAGAGGATTTCCTCTATTAAGGTAAAGATGCTCAGCTCCACAAGAAACCACTGGAAAGTGGGTAATTCCTTGCTGAAGGTGTTGCCCCACCATTTCATTACATAGAACATGGGCACGAGCATGGGAAAGGAGACAAGGAACTGATTAAACAGTGCAGTGTAGATGGCTTGTCGCAATTTCTCTGTGTCCACCTGCAAAAAAGAAGTCAGGATTCCAGGCTGTATCAGAAGCACTGTGGCGTTGAGTTCAAAGGACAAAGAGCTTTAAGATTTGTTGGCTGCTTTCATTAGTTAGCTGTAGGATCAACTTGTTAACAAGCGGGCTATCAAGATCTGATCAGCAGCCTCATTACAAGAACTGCCTTCCTCTGCAATAGATATACAATACTTAGCACATGAGCCTATCTTTAGAATCAGTCTTCAAAGCTTAAAAGGGAGCTATGTGCCTGGAAGAGAAAAGCGTAAGCGGTTCTTCTCCCCTCTCCTGACCTAACAGACTGCAAGAAGTGTTTAGCTAGCAGAAGCAGCACACAGCAATACTTACAGGATCATTCTTGCCTAGCTGAATGCGATACCGAGTAATGAAAGTTGGCCTTCCTGTTACATCAGCCACCATAAGGATTCCATTGAAGCACCAAAAAGCAAGGCTAGGAACCAATGCAGCCCCTGTGACGTGAGGAAGAGACATACTTAAATATCTTGGGAGCTATGGACAGATTTTAAAAAAAAAGATGTAGTAGTATCCAGAGGACTTTACCAGGAGCTACACGTGCTGGGTCCCCTGCACTGTGATGTTTTAAAACAGAATGAGTAGGTTCAGCTTAGACCTAGGGAATGGTGAGGAAATTAAACTGCATAAATGCCCCCTAGGCTAAAGTTTGCCAAAACTGTGGGCTTTTCTGGGAGGACAGGGAACTACCTCATGGTTGACGTTTAAATACACATTGGATAAGTTTGAGTGGATCCTTGGGACCTTGCAACATCCCTGCTAAGCCTGTTCACCAGCAGTTAATCAAAGATGGAGGAGGGTTGTGTATGTACTACAGCAAAGTGTAAAATTCACTAATTTTACTTTAACTTTCAGAAATTAGTTCTACTGTGTCATTCATTTCTCAGAGGAGCAAAGAGCATGTCTACACAGGAAAGCAATTTCTATGCTTTCAGTAGCAGCAAAAAGATCAAATTTTTAACCTGTGTGATGGATCTAATGAGGAACCACACCAAAAGCAGCATGGTTGTGCTGTCAGCTGTAGCTATGTGTGTTTTCAGTGAGTTGAGGATGGCACATCCATGTTCCATTTTAGATGCACTGCATGGATGGTTCCTTGTACAGCAAAGGGTTGTTAACTCACCAAAGAGGAAAAGTGACCATTCCCTTCCCTCAAGCAGGTAGTAAAGCTTCAGCCATGTTGTCTGCCAGAAGTAGCCTGAAGTATCCCAGATCTTTTGCACACACCTGTGGGAATAAGTGTTCCTACTCACTCATCTTTTCACAGTCCGCTTATCCCCTCTCCACAAAAATACTTCTCCTCAAGCCTCTTTTGTCTGAGCAATCTTACCAAGAAACAGAGTTCACTAAGGCAGTGAAAATCAGCAGGGCTGAGCCAAGGACAAGGGCAGACATCTTCACAGCAACCCAGAGCTTCTCTTCCTGTGCACAAGAAACAAGAGTTAAGTGCATGCTGCTGTCCTATACTAGAGCTTTCGTATTTGAAATGTATGTGGTACAGGTGGTCCTATGTCAGCCTGTATTGTTTTACACTCTGAAGAACACAATAACAAAGCAGTTAAGGACCATGGAATTTTCCCTCCCCATTTTTATTGGATGGATTTCTCAGTACCTGAAGAACTGTGCTGCAAAGGGCTTCTGGACAACTCAGAACAGCAGGAATGGAAGACCATGGGGTAAGGAATGGTTTTCCATCACAGTATCTCTCCCACCCCAGACACCAGTCTGTTCTCCCTGCCAGTATGCAATGGGCTCTCCCCCTGCAGTCATGAAGAACAGCTCTGCTCAGGTGATCTGGAGCTGCTGTCTCAGCTCCCTTTTCAGCTTTGAAGACTGATTCTAAAGACAGACTCGTGTGCTCAGAAGCTTATCCTTTCCCCCATAACAGAGGTCTAACACAGGACATCACATTGCCTTGTGCTGTGCCCATCACAGATATGACTCAATTGTAGTACTGGGAGTACAGCTGGTCTGGAAGGCACCACGTGCCATCTATACAGAACAACTGCACAACAACAAGGAGTTAAAACACGCAGCTTCTTAAAAGTACAGCGTTCTCTAAATCCTTGCTCTCAGTCACAGAAATGTGATCTGCTGAAAGAATCTTCCTGTGCACAGTGTGAGAGCACTGCGATGTTAACATGGTTCTTTTAGCACAGTAAGGACTTGAACTTCACGAAGCAACAATCAGAAAATTAGCAGAGCCTTTTGATTTTAGGAATAGGAATATTCAAAAAGCAGTATTCAATATATTTGAACAAAGATATTGAAATAAATGGAGTAAATATTTTTAAAAGTTTATCAAATATATGACAAATACATAATTAACGATTTGTCTTCTAGCACAGCCCCAGTTGGAATTGACTCTGGAGCTCAGAAATCTTAGTTTGAGTTTTCTCAGGTGAGTATGCATTATATTTATCGGCAGGATGACTAAAAACAAATGCAACTGAAACAATACAGTGTAATAACCAGGTAGTGTCTTGTGCATAACTCTGTCCTTCCTGTTTTTTATTGGTGTGTTGTGCTGCAAAAACACCGGAGTAAAAATAGCATGATTCATAGCTGTTGTCCTGGTCCTCTCCCTGCAGAGAGGACAAACAAGAGAGGCAGCTCAGGAGTAGCTGTTGAATGCAGGTGTGTTTTGGGTAATGCAATACGGAGGAACCCTCTCAACACAGCTTTCAGCATTAGGAGCTCTTTCAGGTTCTGTATCAGCTACAGAATATTAAACACTGCCCAGAACTTGTCAGCAATATTTATCTGTCCCAGGACAGAACTTTGCTCATTAGCACTGAAACTTTCCTCACTGAAAAAACTGAGATGATAGGAACAAACGTTTGTTCCTATCATCTCAGTTTTTGTCAGGTTGGCAACTGAGGAGAAAGTAATTTCCTGGACTCTTGCCCTACAGCTTCACGTCAGTGAGCCCTATAGGCTTACTCTAAAAGCAATACAATCATTTGCCAGCATTATCAGTGGGTGACTCTGCTATGAATGCAAGGCTGGCAAAAGTCACCTGTCCCAGCTCCACAGCAGTACGTGCTGGATTTGGGGCAGGACATTGGCTCTCACAGGTCACACGCTTCCAGTTGTACCCACGTTGTCCATGTTACACTAATGCATGCTGATAGTAGATAAGGATTTCTTAATCCTTAAAGACTGAAGCATCTGGGTAATCTTCAGGAAAAAAAAAAAAAAAAAGTACAGAAAGCTATAAAATACTTTGAGTCTTTTAACAGAACTCTATCCTACAAATCCTTCTTTCTCCTGAGATGACAGACACACCAAAGAAGAGCTCCCAAGTTTTAGAGAGTTGGAATTCTTAGTTAGACCAAATGGTATTTGATTCTTTAGTGTCCTCCAGCTGAAGATCTCAAAGATTCACAAGAATTAATGACTCCTGATCCACCTGCTTTGATGCAGGATGGGGAGCAGCCAAAGTTCAGCACTTCAGCTATTTTCAAAGCCTTCTGATAGAAACCTTCTTGTTTGGAGGCTGTGCTTTTACCACACGCGAGGAAGTGATTACATGAATGAATCCCATGCACTGTAATTACGTGAACTGCAGGGACAGAGAAGTTCACATTAAAAAAAAATCTTGTTCGTCAAGTCCAAGTGCTAACACCCTGTTTCTCTTCATGCAAGCAACACCTGCAGAGAGGTTTCCAAACTCTGATCCACTGATCAAAGGCCTTGTACAATTTGCTAAATAGCTGAAGCGCCAACTGGAGTTCCTACCTGCAAGGTAAAGAGACTGGAGCACAACAGCTGGGAAACAGAGTGTTTAGCAGCACCACTTTGAGCACTGGGCCCAGTCAGGTGGCACAGTTTCTGGCTATGTGGAGTATGATGGTGGAAGCAACAATAAGAGGCCTTTCACCACTCAGCTGCGGTTCACTGGGAGGGAAAAAATGCTGGGAAAATGTTTCAATATGATAAGTGATGACCTCCTAATCGTGCTGAAGTGGTCAGAGTTGATGCACGTGTTGCTGCTCTTAGAAGGTTATTCAGCTCACCCAGCTCTCCAAGGCACCTGCTCAACACTTTAAAAGATGGACTTTGAGTCTTTACCTGCTCCTGATGTGCAGCCATGGTGGAATACCCAGAGTCTTTCTTCATCTGAAACAAGAAGTGATCTGAGTGAGCTTTGTACAGCTGCAGGGTGGAAGAATGCACCACTAACAACGGCAAATCACTTCATCTGCAAGTTTAGTTGCAAAACTAAGGTATTCACTCTCTGTGCCCTGTCCATCCTTCATTGCCGGACAAGAAAAAAAAGGCTCTCTAAAGAAAGCCTTACAGAAGTTCCCTTCTTTCCTGACGTGTGTTAGCATTTTCCCATAATGCTGATGGGGGTGTAAGGGTGGCAAACTAAAATGGAAAAACAGCTCAAACCAAAGCTGGTGTGCTGCACTACAGCTCCCAGAAACGCACTGCACTCAGTAGGAACAGCCCTGCACAGACTGCCAAGCAAACACGAGCCGTGTGCTCTACCATAAGGCAGGCATGCTGCTAAACTGACAACAGTGAAAACAAAAAAACCTGACTACTATAATGTGAGCTCGTGCCACGAAGTATTAATGCAGCAGAGCACCGTGCAGCCCTCACCCACGTGGCAGAGGAGCTGTAAGTTACAGTCTGAGAGCATGGTGAGAAAATCATCACTGCTTTAAGTCCAGTGGTTGATAATGACAGAAGGTAGCTGTCAGTTTCAGGATTAAAACCCAAAGGGCAGCTGGCTCCTTGCGTTTGGCTCTGACTGAACTGTTTATTGCCACTTCTGAATTTAAAAAAGAAAAAAAGGAAAGAATCGAGCACAAGGTTGAAGCAGCTGCTGGGTCTGAATTGCTCTCCTTGGCCACAGAAAGATCAGTTTCAGGAGGTGTGCTGTGCCTGCCATAGGGATTATTGCGTAGCTGTTTTCATATTGCTGCACTCTTATCACAAACTGTAATTAGCAAAAGCTGAGAGAACATTCCATATGGTTTTCTTGGTTTCACACAGACATTAAGAAAAAAGCACATGAATTCTAATAATACGAATGAGAGATTTGCTGAGTATGGCACGATGTGATCTGTTTTGCTTTTCATACTTGGAACAATAATCAAGCACAGGCAAACTATGTTACCTAAGGTAACAAAGAAGACTCCAAGGCACCTGGCTAAGGTACCAACAGTTAGAAAATGGGTCATTAGAGAGATGATGTTCTATTACCTTTGTGATGATAGCAAATGCCTTGGGAGTACTCCTCCTGCAGCGTTTCAGAAAGGAGGGATATGCTGCCAAAAAGAAACCATCATGTTATCCAGGAGACTGGACGACAGCCTTCTGGGTACAGCCTCACAAATGTGACTGTCTATTCAAATGTTTCCAGCTCTGTTTCCCTACAACAGATTAGTCTGCAGATCAATGGGCAGCAGAGAGAAAAACTGGACTCCTTCCTCCTACTTGCATCCCTGCTTACTCAAGGAAAGAAAAAGATGAGGCCAGTCCACCAAACTGCTGAAGTGAAACAGTTCTGGGAAGAAAAAAGAAAACAGAAAAAAGACAAAAAGAGAAAAAAAGAGATCTGACGTGGAACCACAAGACCGAACTCCCAACCCTGTATTTCAACACTAGAGCTGTAAATATTCCAATGGGAAGATGAGAAGACAGCTCCTCACTGTGAGATTTTGTGAGCTAACAGAACTAATCCATGAGAACTTCTAATTCTTTTTCCCCCTCTGCATCAAATTTGCCAACCAAATCTTCATTGGTAAAATATATGGGAACTATAATATACCTGATGGAGAACACTATCTCCTAGGAGTTTCAATAACAAATAACATGCTAGTCTGGAGAAAACAACATAAATAACTTGCCATGGGACAAACTGCTCTTATCTTCATTGCAAAGACCTCTTGATCTTGATGAAGGAGTTTACGTTATGCAATAAATAGCATGTTCCCATCTTGTCACACAGGTCCTCTCAGTGCAGGAGTGCCGATTATCTCTCTGAAAACACTACTAAGGTTGAAACATGCCAAATGAATAACCCATTCATGTCTTGGTGCTTTGAGCCATTCCAGTCCCTGTTCCAACACTTAAATAAAGATGTTTTACTTCACTACATAATAACAACCTAAATTCACTTGGAAGAGACTTGGTCCAACATCTTGCTCGGTACGAAACCAACTACAAAGTCAGATCAGGTTGTTGAGAGCCTTGGGTTGAGCTGTGAGCATCTCCACAGAGGGAGACTCCACAGCTTCTCTGTGAAATCTGTTCTGGTGCTGGACTACCTCTCCTGTATTTTTTTCCTAATATCTAGTCACAATGCCCCTTGTCATAACTCATGTCCCTTGTCCTTTTGTTGTATGCCCCACTAACTTCTCTATGACCACCCAGCAGAGACAGAAAACAGTACAATGAAATTATTCTGCTGTGACAGTACAGTAAATAGTGCTGGCCATAGT